TTCAACTGTCAATATTACTCCTTGTCCTTGAGAGACCATAGTGTCAGATCGCCACCCTGAGGAGCAAGTCTTTCTCATCATATTTTGGTGGGGCGAAACCTTAGAGGGGCAGAGAAACAGGAGAATGGAAGTAGGGTGGCCAGGAAAATGGCAGAGAGGCATTGGTCATGCTGTTTGGAAGAGCACTGGAAGAGTGTTCCTCCATCCTTGGTCTCTGTGGATTCAGTGACCCTTGATAAAAAGTTGAGCCCTTTCCTGGCCGACTTGTGCTCATGATTTTGTCATTGCCTTGGTGGGACAAGACGGAAACAGAAGTATTCCTGGATGGATCTTTAGTCACAATGATGGTACTCTGCCCCAGCATTGATGCTTTGACCTAGTTGTAGGTTTGTAACATCGCCCACAATCTTGTAGTGGCGTGCTTATATTTCCAAGTGCAGATGTGTGGTCAGCAAAGCTAGTTTGTTACTGGCCTCAGACTCAGCAAGGTAAAGCCCTTATTCACGATCCCTGAGTTCTTTATTCAGGGCTCAGATGTTCACATAGTCCAGGTCTGTTGTTCATAGATCTCATGCCAATTTCCATGACTGACCATCAAATATATCTTGTATTCTTGGTTCATCAGCCCTGTGTCCATTTTAATAGATGTCTTGCAATATCCTTAACACATAAAACATTAGTTAACTGGCTTTGTGACCAAAGTTATAAAATAGTTCTTTGGGGAACTCTTAATATTTTAGCAATTATATATATATATCTGGGGAATTCTAGTATTTTAGCAATTGTGTGAATTGTTTCTAGTTTATTTTGTCTAAGGCTTGTGTCTGATCTCTGAGTCTAGCTCTAACAGAAATAACATGCTCCTACTGCGGACTTCATTGAGTTGATGCTTAGAACTGATGCTTAGAACTGGGTAACAGCCATCTGTTGGGGTGCTAAATTTTGTGCCTTGTCATAGGATAAATGCAAATTAGTAGGTTAGCAATGAAATCAACATGTTGAAGAGATATTTTACTCCCAGCATCTCTTTAGCACTCTTTGTAACAACTAAGATATGGAATCTATTAAAGTGTCTAACTACAGATGAATGGATAAAGGGAATATAGTGCATACATAGTGAAAGATTATTCAACCATGAAAAGGAAAGTCTACCATTGGTGACAGCATAGATAGACCTGAGGATAACATACTGAGTAAAATAAGACAGACACAAGAAGACAAATATGCTCTCCCTAGTAGGTACAATCTAATAGAAAATTTAACATTGTAACAGTAGGATGTAGAAAAATGTAGTAATGGAAAGATGATAACACCAGAAGTTATGTGGTTAGAGATACTTATGCAAGATTACAAACCTTTAGTTGTAAGATGAATGAGTTCTGCAGATATGATGATTACTACAAATAAGAATGTACTACCCAGGAGACTATCCAAAGCCAGTCCAGGCTGACAAATCTAACTGACTTTTATTTCCAGTTAATCAGCAAAATCCAGACGTAGAAGTGAGGCTCAAGTGTTAGTGCCAGCCAGGCCATGTTTGGTTATTTTAGGCTCAGCACTAAAGTAACCAAAAAAAAAAAAAAGATGTGAGGTAATAAATTTGCTAGAAATGGAACGACTTAAGTGAAGTTGTTCCATTAAATGAAGTAAGCCAGGCCCAAAGAAACATAGGTCCCATGGTTTCCCTTATTTGCAATACCTAGTATATGTCTGAGACAAGCAGAAAAGGTCAGATAAGTTGATGTTAGGCGAAATGAACCCCAAGATAAGGATTCAAATGTTCTTTCTTTCTTGTAATTGTTTCTAACATATTTATAAGATGATTTCTTTGTTGCTTTGTATGTCCCTCCCCCCATGATATAACCCTTGCTTTCACTGTATTTGATGTTGGTATAATTTGTGGAGGGGAAGGGAAAAAACAAATCATTTAAATAGGGATACAGGTGGATCCATTGCAACAATGAGATGTACAAGTCGTTATGTCGAAAAATGAACTTTACAACTTTGGTGGGAGGAGGGTGTGGGGAGGATGGGAAGGGATGGGAAGGGGAAACAAAGGAGGAGGCAACAATGCTTGATAAGAGATGTACTCAGTATCTTGCCCATGTAATTGTAACTCCTCTATATGGTATTTTCACAATAAAAAATATATTTGCTAGTTAGTTTGATTATGGTGGTAATTTAATAGTTTACAGATGTGTGAAAACATACCCTTTAATATTTTTATCAGATATATCTCTAAAACTGTAAGAACACAAAAACATAAGAACCATGTAACTATCTATTCTACCTTACAAAAGGACACATAATAATCCCCAAAGGGGAGAAAAGAATAAAAATAGAAATTTCAAGACAGATTTTTCTAAAATTAAAGGGAGAATTTATTTGAAAATAAAATATGAATAAATTCAGAAGAGGGAGGATACATCTTGCTTCAGATATTTACAATAAAATGTTAATTGCTCAAAGTTCTTCTAAGATTCTTGAAAGCCAATAAAAAAGAAAAGGAAAGGTAATACATTAGAAAATAAGTAGGATAAGTGACAGCAAAAACTCTGAGTAAAATTTGGATATCTTTAACCAATGCCAATATTGTGAATCAAATCAATACACTATAATTACCCTTCTACCTAATTGAGTTAGAATAGCTGGGCTGAAACAAAGTGGTAGGAAGCAAGCATTATCATTCAACATTTCCCAACTCAAAACCATGACCAGGAAACCAGTAGCATCCATATCACCTTGGAGCTGGTTAGACATGCACTGTCTTATACTTTACCCAGACCCATCCAATTAGCATCTGTGTTTTAGCAAGATTCATAGAGGCCTCATGGACACATTAATTCAAAAAGCACAGGTGCAGTGCACTGATTCTCACACTTGGCTGCACATTGGAACCCCTGGGGGAATTGAAGTGTTTGTTTCCTGAACTCTCTGAGAGATTCTGCTTTGTATTGATGAAGTCATGGCCCAGGGTCTTAAAACTCCCAAGTGCTAAAATTGGAAAGTAGTGACTACATCATTAATCAGTGACTAGCAATAGATTCTAAATATGAGTTTCCAGAAAGGTTTTGCAACAATTCCTCAACTAGTCTTTTGTAAAATCCCTCAAATATATTGAAAAAATATTCAGATTGATAACCACAGCCGAAGACATCAAACCACTAAATAACATCCAGTAGAAAGACAACTTAAATACATGTGATGCTTTTCACAACCTGCCTGGAACACTTATATCCATTTGTGTCTACTGCACATTGCCACTTCTCATACAGGCTGGAGCAAATGCCCAACTCGTGTCTCTCCAGGAACTTGATGTATACTGATTTTGGATTTTCACAGAAAACAGGAACTCTGAGAGCTTGAGGGGTCCATGTCCACCTTCTCTCTCTCTATGGCCCAGTCCCTGGACAGTGGAAGAGACAATGTTGTCCTAAACAATTTTGGATTTTCACAGAAAACAGGAACTCTGAGAGCTTGAGGGGTCCATGTCCACCTTCTCTCTCTCTATGGCCCAGTCCCTGGACAGTGGAAGAGACAATGTTGTCCTAAACAAGTGGAGTCCAGAGGACAGACATTCATTAGGTCAGGTGGACAGCTGTTATCCACAGAGTCAACTCTATGGAAAAGTGGAGGTGCTTGGTTGTTGACTGAGTCTCTTGAGAGCTGCTTAGACCTGAATGAAGGCCAGAAGCCAATAGATGAAAGGTGACTCCCAAGGCAAGGTCACAGGTGCTTGATTACATCACAAAGTGTGTCCTCCCTGCAGTTTCTGGGTTCAGTGGATGAGGATGGACCAGAGATCAGGACACTTAGAGTCTCCTGACCACACCATAAGTTTGAACTGAGAGACCTGGAGGCCCAGGAGAACCTCAGGCTGGTACAGCCAGCTAGGGCCCAATTCCACAAGAAAGAAGGGGCCAAGCAGGAGGAGCAGGTTTGAAAGTCGCAGTGGGTTTGGGGCCAAGACACCTTGGGTCAGAACAATTTTCACAGCCCCATATTACAGTGGGTGGTGGGAGGCATAGGGCCAGGTAAGACCACAGCAAGTTCTACAGAGGGAAGAAGTTGCTCCTAGAAATACAGACGACACTTAGGATAAAAGGAGTGGAAGACTGGTGGAAGAGACTAACCAGGTTGTCATGTATGAGGAGAGGGGTCACCGTAAAGGGTGACCCTGACAGCTTGGTCTTGAATCCAGATAGGCCGATACTGAGAAGGCAGTCTGATATGATAAGATCCTTGAACCATGAAATTGACTTAGAATCAGACTGGAATCATTTTTTTGTCAAGATTTAACCCAGAGAAGTAAATAACTAAAGCTGGAAGGTTATAGGGGAAGGTACTTTATGTATATGAGCCTGGTGACAAGAACTCTTCATGAAAGACAGCTAGCACCACAGCTTAAATTAAAAAAAAATGTGTCATCATCCTTAAGCAGTCATGCAAAGGGTTTCAACTCAACATGTCAGTTTCTGAGTAATGCATCTTGATCAGTGTTACCCCTTTCACCATTCTGCCCCCATCTCGCCAGACTGCCTGTAGAATCCCAGTCTTCCCTAAAGCTACCAGTCTTTCAAGGAAATAGTTTTGCAAGGACATCCATCCCATGCTGTCTAATTACCTTGGGCAGATTCCACCCTATTTATCAACCCATGTTGCCAAAGTTTTGTTTAAAATGTACTTATGTAATCCTCATTTCACCTTTAAGACCTTCTTCTCCTCTTATTCTCTTCAAATATACTTAGGGCTTACAATGGCATGTATATTCCCATCACAGGCCTCTGATGTTCCCAGCTAAGTGCAATCAATCTTTAGAGAAACGTTGTGTGATAAATCACTGACCAGTTCACCAGAGGCATCAGCAGCAGCCATCATTTCACCAGCACCAGCCCTGAGAGGATAGGAGTATACCATTTTGTGCCTCTTGACTCTGAGGCTCTGGGACCATGACCAGAACCTGGTGGTTCTTTCTGTTCCTCCTTACCCTTCTTGTGGCCATGGGAGTCAGCATAGACCCAGCCAAGAATAAGATGAAGGTGTTGAGGCCATTCACATTTGTCAATGTTTCAAATGCTAACGTGAAGCAATGTGTATGGTTTGCAATGCAAGACTACAATGAAGAGAGTGAGGATGAATTCATCTTTATGGTGGTCAAGATAGCCCGTGCCCAGATGCAGGTAAAGATCTTCTCTCTAAATGGGACATTGACATGTGGTTGCATAGGTAGAACTGAGAATGAAAGAACGGACCTGTGAGAAACAGGTTGCTATGGCACATAAGTGTGCATACATACTACAGAGTAACAACAGCAGTGCACACCTAGTATGGTCCATTGTTCTAAGTAGTCTGCATAAATCAATTCATTTAACTGCAAACTTTGCAAAGTGTTTATGCTTTTTCTAAGGTTGGGAAAACATCAAGGAGAAAAATCAAGCACCATGAATATTTTGTAATAATGCTGCCCAGGCCACAGTTGAACCTGGTCTTCAAAGCATGGAAGGTGGAGTTAGAAAGAGGCATGTGGCACTGCTGAACTTGTGACTCAGTAGTGCCCTCTCCACTGTTCTTTACCTTTTCTTTTTCTCTTTTTGTCAGTCATGGGGCTTGAACTCAGGGCCTAGGCACTGTCCCTGAGTTTTTGTGCTCAAGGCTAGCATTCTAGCCATAGCTCTACTTCCTGTTCTTTAACTTTTCAACCCAACATTTATATAATGGATGTGGAGGCACATTGATTTCATTTATAAAAGTGTGTCACATCACATGGCCATGAGTCGCTTAACTCTGTCTGGCAGGTATTATTTATATAAATTCTGATATAAATTCTGTTGGAGATGAGTGCTTCTTGGAATTTTCAATATGCTAGTCACTGCTCTGAGATTCAGCCAAAGGCCCTCACGGTTGGACTGAAGCTAACTGCAAATAGCAATCGCAGCTGGGTGATGTGGTTAGTAATTATACCATGAAACTTGGAGGAGGATGGGGTTGAAGAGGTATTCAATGGATAGGTCACTATTAGCAGAACTCACATCCCCGTGCCTTGCACTTCCAAGATATGATGTTGGCAATATAGAATCCTTCATTGATTGGGAGCTCTTCACAATCCATCTCTGAATGTGGCTTCATAGTGGTTCTTTGAGATAAAGGAAATGACCTTGTCATGTTCCCAGCCTCTTTCACACTTTATTTCCTTTAGTACTCAAATAGTAATTCAGGAAGTTTCTCATGAGCCACTTTTGGAATAGTTGCTGTAGATAGGCTGGTGAGAATGAAAAAAAGGATCAAAGTCTTAGAGGAGCCAGAAGTACAGTTAGTTGAAAGGAAAACTCCTAAAAATCCCCTTAAATCAGGACTTGGAGATATGTTGTCTGTTCTAGTGGCATTGAATATGGGGATGCTGAATGTCAGGGCAAAGCTTTCTTAGACAATGTTTCTCAACTGGAGAGAGAACATGTAAATGTCCTACTGCAGGGCTATACTATTACTAACAAAATGAGGCCCTTGGGTGGGACTTAGGTCTCAGTAGGTATTAAAGACTTTCAGTGTGATCATGGTACATAATCATTGCTGAAACACACCACTTTATGAGTGATATTTAAAGACCTTAAGGCAGAGCAGGAGTAACGTGTGAAGTGGTGAGAGGCATTTTATTTTGGATTACTCCAGAAATAGATCCTACTGGTAGAATTCAAAGGCAAGTAGTTTATTTGGAAGACCATATCAGGAAGTACCAAAAAGACAGAGGAAAAGGAAGACTGGATCAGGAGAAGGGCCAATGCAAGTTCAGTAAGTGAAAAAGTAACCACCATGGGTGTCTGGCTCTGTCTTCCCAGAGACCGCAGAGATGGATAAAGATGTACAAAAACCAGCTAGGCCAGGCACCAGTGGCTCACATCTGTAATCCTAGCTACTCAGGAGGCTAAGATCTGAAGATCACAGATTGAAACCAGCCTGGGCAGGAAAGTCCATAAGACGTCTCCAATTAACCACCAAAAAACTGGAAGTGGAACTGTGGTTCAAGTGATAGAGAACTTTGAGCAAAAGAGCTCAGGGACACAGGGACTGAGCTCAAGCCCCAAGATCATCATTGTTAGAGTAGATTAGACTTTGCCAGAAAACCATGCAGATATCCAGGTACAAAGAACATAGAAAGGTTTATTGTTAGTAAAGTGACCAGCAAGAACCTTTTTCTTCTCACAAGAGAGAAGTGCTGGCTATTGTTTGAGGTGACTTATATAACCTACTGAGGCTAGGAGGGGCTAGAAGGGGCTAGGAGGTAGAGATCTTGGTGTGGACGTGAGGCCAGGAGCTCTGCCATGACAGACTAGGATTTATGGCTGCTACCCAAGTAGTAGATAAGGGGTCTTGTAACTGCCTAGACCTGAAGGTCACTCTAAAAGGGCTCTTGCTGCCTTATCTGGTGGTAGCTGCCCCAGAGGAGTACCATCTCAAGGTAAAGGGGGGGGGTTGAAGGCTGATTATTTACTGCCTTTACTACATGGGCCTAGTGTTGCCAAGGAAAGAAGCATGCTAAGCTATGGAAAGGGAGTTTATTGGGTTAATAAGCACCAAAATAAAGAAAACAAAACAAAAGCTTACCTAGGAGTTAGGCTACCTTACAGTTGAGGAAGCTGAGTTGTTTATTTACCTACTCCCATCTGTCATGGATTGGGAGTGGCTCTGGACCCTTAGATTCTGTTGAGGGGAGAGACCCTAGGAGCTGGTGTGGGTTTGGAAACAATGTGGGAAATGGGGTAGGGCCCACAGTATCAGCTACAGTAGGGAAACAGGGAGGATTGGAGAGTACAAGGATGAGAAAAAGCAGTCGGACATCCTCGAGTACTCTTACGAGGCTCTGCTGTGGCTGGCTGCAGATAAGGGAAGAGACTATACGATGGTGAACCTTGTGAAGCATGGCCAAGATTTTTTTTTTAAATTTATTTTTTAAGAACACTAAAATGTCAGAAAAATATTAGGTCAGAGAGTGCGTGGGCTTCCTGTAGAGACCACTATGCTCACTCACTGTCACAGGGCAGAATGTAAACCCTGGAATTTGGATTCAAGCTAGAATTAGGTTTTACCTTCAAGAGGCCCCTGTGTGTATCTCCAGGAATTGAGTAACTCCAGGAATTGAGTAATGGTTATTATTCTTCTCATAAAGATATGTCTGGGCTGGGAGAAGAGGACAGAGAGACAGAATGAGAGGAATTTTGTGTTTGTCAAAACTTATAAAATTTAAAATGGAATAGTGTGTGTGTGTGTGTGTGTGTGTGTGTGTGTGTGTGTGTGTGTGTATGTGTGTGTGTGTTGGTACTGGAGCTTGAACTCAGAGTCTGGGTGCTGTCTCTTTAGCTCTTTTGCTTAAGGCCAGTGATCTACCACTTGAGTCATAGCTCCATTTCTGGCTTTTTGCTGGTAACTTGGAGATAAGGGTTATATAGACTTTTCCTTCTTCAACTGTGATCCATAGATCTCAACCTCCTGAGTAGGATTACAGGTGTAAATCAACAGCACCCAGCCAAATAAAACATTTTTGAATAAAATTTCACCACGGCTAATCCACAGATCACAGATCGCCTGGAATACCTAATTGATGTCAGAATTGCTCGCAGCGATTGTAGAAAACCCTTAAACAATAATAAAATCTGTGCTATTGAAGAGAAGGCCAGCCGAGAAAAGGTAAGTGGCAGATGAGTCATCTATAACAGGCCTGGTGGCTCCCAGCCTCATGTGGGTTAATGAAGGTCTCTGGGTGAATTGGAAAACCTGAGGATGCCCAGATGCCGTTGGAGATCAAGTTGGCTCCCAGTACTCAGCCCCAGATGTTGTGGCTTGTAGAGAAGATAGGGCTTTGATTGTGGACTTTTCCTGTCCCTCCTCCAGGAGCAAGGTGCTGTCAATACCACACCTATCTCAAGCTTCTGGACTTTTGATGCAAGAATGCTGACCTATGATCTCTGAAAGTCTCTCCTCTTGGACCCAGACTAAACACTCAGCTGTTGTGGAGCCAAGTTGCTCAAGCCTGTGTAGGGAAAAAGTCCATTTATTTACTCCTCTATTCTTACAAACTTACTGAGCACCAGTTGCAGGTCAAAGCAGGTATTTGAAATTAGGCAGTATCTAGAACCAGATGGTCTCTTTCCTTTTGCTCAGAGCCCATCTCAGCGTTGGATAATTGCATGCAAGGAAACAGGGTTATTTATCTGACTCCCATCTATCATTGGCTGAATGCTACTCCAAGAGCCCTTGGCTTACACCTTCCTTGGCTGAGTTAGCTCTTGCTGAGCTGAGCGAAGGTTAGTATGAATGTCAGGGAACTAGCCAGCCAAAGGCTTATTTGGTCTAGACACCTTTAGTCTTAAACCTGTGCACTGTTTTATTTGGCAATACAGAGTCAACTCAGGACCTCAGACTTCCTAGATAAATATTCTACTGCTTGAATCATGCACCCAATCCTTTTTGCTTTTTAGTTTTTTTTTTTCTCATATAGAGTCTCGCTTTTTCCTGAGGGCAGCCTAGCACCAGAATCTTCCTACTTACCCCTCCTTTGTAGCTAGAATTACAGGCATAAACTATCTTACCTGGCCCTAAGCCTATACATCTTGACCTCAGAGTTGGAGTAAAGCCCAGGCTGTTCATTCCTGAGCTTAAAATTGAGGAAGTAAATCCCCAACTGGACAAGTTTGCCCAACAGATGTATATTGGGTAATTTTCATGTCACCAATTAGTATTAATTAAAATAACAGATTCCCTAACATCAAACTGTAACATCAACTTACTTTGTCTGATTTTGTGGTGTAGTGGTTTTACAACCATTTGTTAGTGGTTTTTATTCGCATTACCTGTACAGGTTTGCGAAAGTTGGGACAAGTACATAGTAACCTCCATGTGGAGTTTGCCTGGTGAATCTTTAGCTTTGGTCTTTTCTGGATGAAGACACCAAATACATGAGGATGGTATGAGGTTTGGGGGACATTTCCTGGTTGCTTTGTCCCAGGCAGCTTTGTTCAACTTGGTTCTGATGTATATGTATGTGTTCCCATCCCCTTCATGACAAACTTCCAGATGCCTCTCAGTGCTCTAGGACATGCTTCTTAAAAGATGGAAGAATGGGTCAGGTGCCGGTGGCTCATGCCCATAATCCTAGCTACTCAGGAGACTGAGATCTGAAGATCACAGTTCAAAGCCAGCCTGGGAAGGAAAGTTTGTGAGACTCTTATCTCCAATAAACCACCAGAAAACTGGAAATTGGTGCTGTGGCTGAAGTGGTAGAGTGCTCACCTTGAGCTGAAGAGCTCAGGGGTAGCGGCCAGGCCAAGAGTTCAAGCCCCAAGACCAATCCCTACCCCCACCCCCAAAATGGAAGAAAGGCCTCTTTATTTTACTAGATAAGTTGTGGTTATACTTTGTTTCTCCATTACATTTAGTTCCTGAATTTTGCTAGTCTGATGCAGGAAGATGAGTTCTTTCCTTCTCCCTCCTCCCCCACAGACTGAATTAATCAAAAACTGAGTTTGCCTTAAAAAATATTGATTTGGCCCCTTCATTTTTCTATGCCTCTCCCCTTGCTCCCCCTCTCTTGCATATACCCAATTCCTGACACCAACTTTGTTGGGCTTTAGCTTCATCTTTCTAAAGAATTATACTGTTTGTGCTCTTCCTAGAGTCTATTATACTTCAGTTAATTCATTTCTAACCATTTGGATACCACTCAGTGTGTTTACTTCTAGATTTTTATAGGCACGTTCTAGGTACCCACAAGGGAGGAGGGGTAGAAGAATGATCAGGGGAAAGGAGTAGAATGTAGGCAAGCATGCATTGTATATACATTGAGAAGAATAAGGATAGGGGTGGGTCTAAGGGGGGATGGAGGTATTAAAGGGATGACAGAGATCAAGATGCACTGTATACATAAGTTGCTTTTTTGAATGGCAAAAATTCAGTACATAAAAATTAAGAAACCTAACCTAAAAATTAAGAAAGGTGAGGGAAGGGTTGGGATGGATGGGTGAGAATGTTTGGGGTAATGTTGATCAAGAGATCCTATATTCATAAACTGCTCTGTAGAATGGCAACTCTTATAGAATTGCCTAAAGAAAAAATATTAAAAATATTGATTTGATATTTTATATTGTATATGTCAAATAAATAGTAAGCAGCAGGGACCACCAAAGAGATAATAAACTGCAGGGACCAAACTACTTATTTCTGCCTCCTCTGCCTCTTATCTCCTATATGTGACTCTGATTCTCACGGTCAGGAATACAGTTGTCAGTCTGCCCATCCACCCTCCTATCATCCATCCATCCATTCATCCATGTGCCCGGGCCTCCATCTATTACATCCATAGAATATTTAGTCATTTCCATAGGATTTTTAAAGGGATAGAACCCTTTGGTACAAAAGGTATGTTAGGCTCTAGAATCTTCTAATTTATTCTTATCCTGATTGGTTAGAACAAATGGATATATTTAATCATTAAGACAACATATATTAGTCTAGGTTTAATAGAGAAATGCTTTCTTTCCATTGTAGGCAATATGAAAAAGAATTAAGCCAAGTTTATGTGTGACTTAACTATCAGAATGTTAGGAGTGCTAACACTTGTTGTCTACCTGTGGTCAATATGGACCAGAGCTACCTCTGTAGAATTGCTGGCCATTGGTGATCCTTAGCCTCCAGCTCTTCAGATTCTTGGGGGCAGTCCCTCGTGGGTAGAGACCCATCTAACCCTAAGCAGACACCAAACAACAAGATATTTGTTTCTCCTTTTTGTTTTAGCATACTACTAACTTACATTGTTACTATCTTTTTCAGACAATACATTGCACCTTTTTGGTAGGAGCACTTCCCTGGAATGGAGAATTCAATGTGTTGAGCAAACAGTGTTTTGATGCCTAATTGTGTCTTGGAGACCCATCTACCACTGATCAACCTTTCTCTGTGATAAAAAGCATCTGCAGACATAAGAGTATGACCAACGTGTTTTCCTCATGCATGCCTTTCTGCCTACTGTTCAACTGTTTTATTTTCATAGTATGTGGGGACAAAAGATAAGGTCTTCCCTGGCAAAAACTCACCCTAGGAATAAGTTTGTAACTGAAAATAAAGAATAGGGTGAGGGCTGTTTCCATTTCCCCATGGCAGATGGAAAGTGGAATATATTTAGATTGTATAATAGTCCCTTACAATGGGTGCTAACAGATTTCCTCCCAATGCTTCCTTGGCCCTGATGTTTCTTTATGAGAGTTCTGATTGGACATGTCACCTGACTTGGAAGGAATTTTTACTTCTTCTGTGAATGGGAACAAGGGTCACTGAGCATGTAGTCAGTCACTTTTAAAAACATGTTTTTGGTCTTTTGTCAGTGTCTGTTTTATTTCATTAGAGTAAATGTGTTCTTGATGTAAATGCAAACATTTTTTCTGACTAATCATAGTTATAGACTATACAGTATAATTCAATAATAAAGGAGTAATTAACCTCTAACCCCCCCAAAATAATGGTCATAAAGCAAGAAGGTGATGGTAAAAATGTCAGGAGAGTGACTGAATTATCATTGTGTTCCTCTGTGTGTGTGTGTGTATGTGTATGTTGTGTGTGTGTATGTGTGTGTGTACATGTGTGAGAGAATGACTTAGAAGAGGGAGAAGAAGTATGCAAACAGGGACGATAGCAAGAAACAATTCTTTTTCAAAAAGCAATTGACCATAAATGTGTTTAATGAGAATTTACTTAATTATTGAAAATTTATTTAATGAGTAGAGAGATTCAGTTCTGCAACATGCAAAGATTCTGGAGATGGGTTGTATAATAATGTATTATAATTGATATATTTGAACTTTACCTTTAAAATGGTTAAAATGGCAAATGTATTGCACCACAATTTATAAAAGGCACGTTCACACACACACACACACACACACACACACACACACACACACACATACATGCATATTTTTTTTTGTGGGGCTTGAACTCTGAGTTAGCTCAAGGCTAACACTCTACCACTTGAGTCACAGTGCCACTTCTGGTTTTCTGGTGTTTCACTAACGCTCCTGCCTGGGCTAGCTTTGAACCACAATCCTCAGAACTTAGCCTTCTGAGTAGCTAGGATTAAAGTTGTGAGCCTCTGGTGCCCTAGGGGCTTATTTTTAAATTATTTTTACTTTTTTGTGTTGGGACTCCAGTTTAGGGCTTCATGAGATGTCTCTCTTTTAAGCATAGTGTTGGGGATGATTCAGTGGGGCAAGTGTGTTTCAAATGTACACACACAAGCCACGTTTTACTTTCTGGCTTGTTAGGCAATGAAGGTTTTACTCTTTCTGCCCTAGGAAAAAAACAAGGTCACAAAACTCAAAGGCATAGGGCTTTGTCCTCTTAACTTAGCCCATTACCTGGGTGAGTATCAGGACTTCCTGCCTCTGAGTGGCTGGGTTGAGTTAGAGGCAATAGATGGGTCTGGGCTTTCTCTTTCTGTGTACTTGGTGCATATAGACATATCAGATACATTTGTCATGTCTAGGATCTAGGAACAGAAAGTCATTAGAACCTGGAGACATATGGCAACTCCTGTAGGTGTGACCCCCAAGTTCAATGTATGGCTCTCTAGTTACTGTTTTTGCTTGATGGAAATTGGACAGGACCAGTTATAACAGGGCTAAACTCAGGTAGAACCCACTGCTCATGAAAGGGGCGATTCTGTTCCTAGCCTTCTGCTATGTTTTATGTATCTTGGTCTCTGTGACTTTGCAATAAAAGAGATTGCTAACCTGACATTTGGAAAATGACAAAGAAAAATCTGTGCTTTTTTTCCCATTCTGTGGCTTGAACTCTGGGCCTGGGTGCTGTCCCTGGGCTCCATTTTTGCTCCAGGCTAGCACTCTACCACTTGAGGCACCACTTCCAACTTTTTCTGTGATTAATTGGAGATGAGAGTCTCACAGTTTCCTGCCTAGGCTGGCTTTGAACCACAATCCTCAGATCTCAGTCTCCCAAGTAGCTGGGATTACAGGCGTGAGCCACCAGCGCTTGGCTAGCATGTGCTTTTAAAGCCATGTTGTTTTCTTATTTGAATATGTTTTACTCTTTCTGTAGCCCATCTGTCTTCTGCTGGTGATGGGCCCATGTGCAGCCTCAAGAAAGAAGGCAAGCAACTTTCAATCCTGAATAACAGCCCTCCACGGATTTGTAGATCTGGCTCCCACCCCTGCCAATCTCCTCTTCCTCTTCCCATGAGGCTTGCCACCTTCCTCTGCCCTTAAACCATGATCCAGTCACAAAGGAAGAATCTCCACCCTAGAGACAAAATGTCCTTTGCAGAGACCTTTAAACTACATATGTACATACACATCAGTCCCTAATTCTAGGGAAATAGGGCCATTCAAAAGTAACTGTGGTTTCCCACCTTCTCTTGTAGCCACAGTAGGCCCTAAGCCACAGGAATCTGGGTAAAATGGGTAACAGAGGGAGCTTGCAACAGGACATGCACAGAAGAGCCACAGCCAGAGTTGTTACTCTTGGCAATAGGACTGGCTTGTGCCATAAAAGGCAGAGGGGCTGAAGAGTGGAGGGAAGCAGGTATGGCATCTTTTCAGGCAACAATGTCCACTGCTGCAGAGTAGTCCTGGTTAATGACTGTCTTTCTCCGCCATGTTGGAGCACATGGCAAGTAAGTTTCAGATCTTGGCTGGCACTGGAAATCAAGTTAGTGACTGGGCAGTGAGGTTCAAAGCAGAGGGAAGTTCTGTGGGATCTCTGAGTATCTAGGCCTTACACCCTCCCAACTCCACTCAAAGACAAAGGATACAACCACTGGCTCACAGATATGAGATTTTTTATCTCAACTCTGCCATTTTCTGGTTTCAAGATCTTTCCTAACTCAATCTCTAGTCGCACTCCAGTATCTGAATGAACACCACCCCTTGCTTACTTCTGACATAGCAACCAGGGTTCAGGAATTGGTAGTAGTATGAGCTGAGCTGCTTCAGTATCCTTTGCTTGCTTAGGGCTATTGGTGCTTGGAGACTTGCATTTGGAGTCAGACCAGAGTGCTGGGGATGGATGACAGAGGTGGGGAGGAATAGAGTTCTGGCTGGTGCTACCTCCTCCCCCTGTTTCAGCTCTTTGGAATAGACCTTGTCCCTCAAAAGAGTTGAAACATATTACTCCTATGGCCATATTTTTGTTTCTAAGCTGACACTGATCCAACTTTCAACTAGGCCAAGGACAAAGAGACTGCACATTTTTGGTTCAAAGAATAGAGGTTTCTCAGATGGGGAGGATGGGGTGGTATCAAGTTGGCAGCCCCCAGGTTCCGTCTCAACACAACAGAGCACGCAGCCTTCCAACAGTGGTACCCTGAGTGTGAATCTGGGGCCAGCATCATGAAAGCCCTCACTGGAGAGTTCTTGTCTTCCTGGCCTTTGTTCCCTATCTCACACTGAAGTGATCCCTCCCTCACCTCCCCACCTGATTTTTATTTTACTTTTTGTTGGGCTTGAACTCAGGGCCTGGGCACTGTTCCTGAGCTCTTTTGTTCAAGGTTAGTGCTCTACCACTTTGAGCCACAGCACCGCTTTCTGGTTTTCTGGTGGTTCATTGGAGACAAGAGTCTCACAGACTTTCCTGCCTGGGCTGGCTTTGAAGCGTGATCCTCAGATCTCAGTCTCCCATATAGCTAGGATTACAGGCCCCATGCTTATTTTTTTACCTAGTGAGCTTAGCCAAACATGTATGGAGAACAGTTTTGTTCTGCTTTCCAGCTCTATTTGCTTCTTCTGGCCCCAAACCTCAAGTAACCCTGCAGAAATCAGTGTGTCTGGGTGCCTGTTGAACTCACTGGAGTCCCTCCGCAGTGCCTCACTTTTTTTGGTGGAAAAAGAGGAAGAGTGGGGTCCTATCCACTGCAAAAGTGAGGAACTTGATCCTGTGGGGGGAACTTGCTACAACTTAAACGTTTTCAGCAAACTTCACTCCTGAGACAGGACCCAGGGCCAGGCTGCAGATCACATTCTCGAAAGTCCTGCAGGTAGGCTCTCCACACTTCCTTGTGCCAAAGGAAATCTGTGATGAAATGAGGAAAATATCTGAAGGGTTTTTCCTGATCTAGCAATCCTGGAGCCAGATTTGAAGAATCAATGAATCAAACTACAGTTATTGTGTACCATGTAAGGATATCAAGTCAGTGATGATGCCCAATGTTTTCTCTCACATGTGAAAGTTAGATCTAAATCTTAAACATGCATGAAATCTTATACGGGGTCATATGCAATATACACAAATTGACTAAAGTATGGTATGTGCAGGGGAGGATTCTACCTGTGTAGCTTCTTTGAACAACTAATTGTTTAACAAAATGAATACAAGGAAGTGGAAATGTGTTGTCGGGAGAAGGGGACAGGTTAAGAGGAGAGAGGGAAAATGAATGGAGAGAAGAAGGGTGGGAAAATACAGTCATGATACTCAAAGTACATATATGAAAAATGGAAAGGGTCAGGTGGGGTTGGGAGAGAAGGGAGAATAGTGAAAAGGAGTGACATCAAGATACGCTGTACTAAAAAACTGACATATTGAAATGCTTTTGTACAACTACTTATTAAAAAATGATGGTGCTTATATCGAATGGATCTCATTAGATTTATAATGGAGTTGAACAATTCCTACCATCTAATGATGCTACTGCTATCCTAACTTTGTAGTTTCTCTTTTTTTTTTATTGATTCTGGTTCAAAAAATGTGCTGTTGGTGTTAAATGTATAATGTCTAAGCTGGGCTCTGGTGACTAACCTATAATCATAGTTACTCAGGAGGCTGAGTATCTGAGGATTAAAGTTTGGAGCCAGTCAGGGAAGGAAAGCCCATGAGATTCGTATCTTCAATTAACCATCAAAAAGGTAGTA